TAACACAAGCATTGAGTTGCTTACTTTGGGGCTAGCTGGCGCTGTGTGAAATTGTCCAAAGATTTATTTATTTATTTATTTATATAATATTAAAATTCTCGATTATCATCAGAAATTACTTAAAAAGAAGCACATTTTGTCTTATTAATTTAATAAAAGAGAAAATATGTAAAATATCTTCATGCAGCCAAACTAAATGCGCTTGCATACAAAGAACCACTTTTACAAAAATTACTCAGTCTAGCTCACTGCTATGAGTACTTTCAAGTACTTTGTATCGTCCCGTATTACAGAAATAATTGTAGACAGTACAGTCGAGCACAGAACTGTTTGTTTTTTATTTTAAAACAAGGAGATCTGAAAGTTTAAATAAGAAATGAGAGTGTCACAAACAGACAACGCTTTGTAAGTTTAAAATATATTCGTTGTGTCATTTGAAACCACAATAAGTGAACTCAGCTCTTACTTATATCATAACCAAAACTACTGCTGAATTNGCTGAATCTATTTTATTTTATTTTACACATAGATAATTTGTTTTCAATAACTTCCATATAAAAAGCTTTTTTTTCCAATCTCAACATAACTTCTTCAGTATTTTTCAGCTCCGGAATGTTCTTTTCAAGAACAGTAAAAGAAACTAATTAATGTGAGCATAATTTCTTCAATAATTTTATAAGACTCATCTAACTTTAATTTGTTTAAAACCCTCGAAATCGTAACAATCAGTCACCAAAACCGTACTTTTCAAACGTTCTGAAACATATATTTATAGAAGACTGTAGTTTGTGCAATTTGCAAAAGCTGTGGTTTAGTTTCATCTCGTAGGGCTGCGGTCTGTCCAAACGAAGAGCGTTCGTTGACCCCAAGCATAATGAGCTTAATCAAGTCTTTATAACGATTTGACCCTAATGATGCATCGAAAGGTAATTGATTCCCGCTTCATTGAAAATCGCCTAATTTATTCCGCGCGCTTTACGCCAAAAATAAGCAAATCAGGAAGATGTACCGGCGTAATTACCCGTGAAATGAGATTTATCATGTTTATTCATTAACATACACGACAACGGTCCAAATATGTTAAGAAAATATCTTAATACAGATACAGTATGATCTTTTAGTTAGAGTTAGCACGAAGATTTCTTGGAGTTATCAAGAGATATCAAAATCAAGTTGTACTTGTAGGTAGGTACTTTGTAATTTCTATCCAACAAGTTGGTTGAAAGACGGTCTGATTCTAGAAGGGTTCCCTAAGATAAAGAACCCACCCACCTAGTCTTCTTATTCGTACATCCCACACACATTTATACATTCAATTGACTTTACAAAATAAAACAGTTTTTTCTGTTTGTTTTTGCAAAAGCCAAATATTATTTATTTCCATATGATTGGGCTCTTTACTTCGTTATATTGAATCGAACGATGTAAACCTAAAACAATCCGACTAAACTAATTGGAAGCAAATTGATTCAAAACAGACGAAATAACATGTATAGAGAAAATGCTGTTGATTTTCTTTCATTTGATTTTATTAATTTTCCTTAATTGGTTATTGCTTTGGGAATTACATTCTGCCCGTCATCTTATACTTCGGTCTACTAAAAAAATAAAAACTTCGTGGTCACGGACTGACTATCCTACCTGCAATTAGTATGATCTCTACTTGAGTGCCGTTGGAAAACTTGGAAACTATTCGATAACTAGCCTTTGGAATATCAATTCTTTCTTCGTAACACATTATTAACGTAAATTATTATAAGTATTATTTTCTCTAATGCACAAGAATAGCACCCCTAATCTTCATAGCTCGTTAAGGATTTGAAAACATTCTAACGGACGACTGACACTTTAGGGTTAAAACGACCATGTGCCCAGTTTTAACCGTCTCGTTTTAGTTGTTTTAGGTAGTCAGGTAACGGTCCAATAGTGCCTTTATTGGGATTTTGTGCTCGTGAAGTACAAAGAGTATGAATGTCTCTCACGCCAAAAATGTTGTCGGCATTTCGATGAATAAAACCGGTAACATGCCCGTTTTATTAGCATTTAAGTTTGGTATTTACGACGTATTTGAACAACACATGCCCTTTTTTACTTCGTGTAAGTATTTTTACTGCAATCCGCGGCTTTTCTTTAACACTTTTGGTTGCGATGCTTACCTATTTTGGTGTGTGAGAGAGAGAGCGCAATCAATTATTAATGATCATCAGCCTTTTTCAGTCTTCTGAGCTTTTCCTCATTGTTTGCAATTGTGTTAGTGGTTTGCCACTGAGCTCAATCCTCGGACCACTACTTGCCTCTTTGCATAATATCGTTGGTCCATCTTGTTGTTGATGAAGGAGAGCCTAGACTACGCTTAATAACACCCGTATTCACAAACATTACTATGAGGTCTCACAGTGCCCGTGGATGCACAGGGTCCCAAAAACCTATTAATAGACAATAGGTACATAGTTGAGTGGCGGAGTGACACACACGAACTAATCCTGTGATTGGTTCGTTTAGAGCTCTGTAGCTCTATTCAGGCTGTGCGCTTCGCATAGCGTTGCTGCTTCACTTAAGCAAGCATCGTTTGTGAATACGGGTGTAAGTTAATTCTGTTTTTCAGAATGAGCGACTTGCACCAATTATATCGCATCATTCGTAGAGTACATAGGCATTAATTGCACCAGATTCCTAAATTTATTATGAGCAGTGAATTCATTGTGCGATGCGGTCGAATGCCCTCATTCGAAATACATGGAATGCAGGAATGGAAGCGTTTTTGAGTCAATATAACATGAACTGTTTTAATGATATGTAAATTAATTAACGCGGAGTTTTTGATTATGTATTTTCCGACTTATCAATTTCTGCAAATCACGAATTAGTTCTTTAGTAGTATAATCTTTTTATGAACCCAATAATGTATCAATTTACAAGTCTGTCATTTTGAAAACCTGAAAAAACACTAAGCTTTTAAGGTAATTTCATCGAAGGTCGTTAATAATTTCATGTAAAAATATAGCAATAATTGGAAATTCCCTCTTCGTATATTTCAAAGAAGTTGAATAATCCTCGTAATAAGAAATTTTCAGCAATTGTTATCATTTTCTTTCAGAGGTATTTAATAGTTTTAGTGAATATGGCATTCACAACTTCTCGGAAAGCGATTATTATGAAAGCGTCTAGACTTGGTACAGTCAACGGCAAAAGTCGATGATCAAAATCAGAAATTCAATACTGATGGATGATGGTAGCGTTGAAGTAATTTTAAAGTATAACCTAAGATTAGGCACTGAAGCCACACAGTTCGAACGCGTAATAACTTAACTTCGTACTAATTAGTATTGAATGTTTGATTTTGATAATCGCCTTTTGCTGGTGACTGTACGTTGAATAGCATCAGCGTTTCTAAGAAAATCTTGTGGTACTTCGTATTCATTCAACTTTTATTATATGTGGCTCAGTTTTATTTGAACGTCATCAGATCTCGAGGAAATACTTTAGGCAAAGTTACTCCTAATCTTAAATATCAATTGTTATACTTCTTAGACTTGTTGCTTCCATCGTATTAAGAATTTAGCATTTCATAGCTAAGATAATAGCTAGCATGTGTATGCTGTCGAATTTTTAAATTTTAGGGCTGATTAAAATTTTTGCGACATTTAAGTTGTTTCTAACTTCAACTCATTTGAAAACTTTTTATGATTATTAAAGTCTTGAAGTATGTAACATACACTACTCACTTTGTTCTCATAATTCGTTATTCTGTAACTAAAAGGAAGGTAATATGATAACAAAAATCAGGAAAAACAAAAAGTAAGAATGTTGGTGGGCTGATTCCTGTGTCTCAGGCCACTCAGGTTCTTGCTACACCGGCTCCCACCTATGCTCAGAGAGACGGAGATGGTGGATTTTTAGTGGGTAGGCAGGCCCCTCCCTTCTGGAGGGGAGAGCCCCACATAACCCGCCGCCTGACCACAGTCACAACCACAGTGGCGGGTATGCAACTCAATGCATTTTTACTACCGAAAAAAATAGGCCTCTCAGGTTACCAACCCTCCACCCATATAATGGATGAAAGTAATCTATCGCTTCATTCCATTAAAAGAAAATGCAATCCAATAGTAATTTCGCTCAACACAATTGCTATCGCTATCCCCCACTAACTCTTAGATTCTATCCCAAAATCCCCCCATTAGTATTTATTTATTTCTCTAGAAACTTTCGCGATGCCAGTGCACAAAGGGTGCATTAGGGTGAGTATAGACTATCTAGTCTGATTTTTAATTCAACGGAATTTTGGCAGCTGTCATTTTTTGACAATTCAGATATAAACCTTTTTGTTTTAAATTTTTAGAATAAAGGTAATAAAAAATATGAAACAGAATAACATGAAGTACAACACTTACAAGTATGAATTTTATTATTGTTTGTTTTGTGCATTAAATGTAGGTACACTAATAATAATAATTAATTATAATATACATTTTAGAGATCAAATAGATAAAGCGTGTTTTTAACACAGTAAAACAACATAAACGAAAATATCTATTGATAATATATTTGTAATCTATGGATTATTATTGGCCAGGGAGTCCAGTAATAAAAAAATATTGTCCTTAGTTTTTAAATTGAAACCTTAAATTCAAGAAAGGTTTATTTTTAAAATTGGTGAAAATACTTTCCTTTTTTAGTGGGAATGTTTTAATGTTGGCAACACTTCTAAAATGTCAAAATTCCGTGTAATTAAAAAGTATGTAATCAGAATCACAGATAATATTATACTAGCTTGTAATATAACAACGAAACGCTGTATGTATGCGTGTTTGTCTTGTTGGTTGTCCTAATAAATAAAATAAAATAAACGCTCTGCTTTGCACGAGCGCGGGCGATACACATTTAAACAAAGAGTGATCGCAAGGATAAATGCCATCCACGAAGACGCGCCCCACAAGTTGTCGGAGGTAAGCGCGGGGTCGGGGTGCGGGGAGTTTGATCCGAGCGTCAGTCACGCGCCGTCAGCGGTTCGATGTGCACGAATTTGTTAGCCTACGTTGCAAAAATCCAGACTCGTCACGAAAGTTGCTCCACTTAGTATTTTTTTAAAATGCCGAGAAAAACGCAGCGTGTGGTACTTAATAACCAGGTATGTAAATTAAGATTGTTTAGATATTATTAGTAAGGAAATAGTTCGAAAGATTGCAAGTTCTAAAAATGTGGACTAGATTGTTAGATATTTAATGGTTTTTTTTTTCATTTTAGGCAAGAGATATTATATCAAAAGTGTATGATTTCATGAAAAATGAAGCAAAAAATAATTATGCGGAAAAACTAACCGATGCACGATGGAGAACCGCACAGGCAGCTGGAGTATCTGAAAGTACAGTGACTAGAATTCTACGCGAGAAAAGAAAGAAAAATACAAAACCTGCTACGGAATCGGATTCATCTATGGAGACGGATGCAATAGATGCTGCAGTCCCAATTACGGAGATAACAGTTAAATCAGAGCCGACTACGGAGACAAATGTTAAAACAGAGCCGATTACGGAGACAAAAGTTAAAACAGAGCCGACTACGGAGATATCAGTTAAAATAGAGCCGACTACGGAATGGGATGTTTTCCTTGAAAATGAAGCGAGTACGTCAAAGAGCAGAGATCCAATCAAAACAGAGACCACGACACCATGAACGCAGAATATTACTTAGTGACGTAATGAAAAACTAATACCAAATGCACATTTTGAATCAAGCTTTTGTTCGAATAAATAAAGATGTCTTGTTCAATACCTGTCAGCATGTGGAAAAAATAGAAGACGACTACATGAAACACTGTGACTTTAATTTCCGTTGTAATAAATTTATTGACATCAGACATTTCTGAAACGAATGATTGACGATTTAAAATAATGTTATTTTATTTCATAATAAAGTTCTCTGTAACTTTTCACGTATTTCATTTATGCTTCCAATTACTAAAAATGCTAATTAATTGTATAGCAATAACCGCGTCTAAAAAAAAAAAAAAATGAAGTAGAGTGTCTTTCACTTTGAACTCGACGCTCTTTCCTGATTGTAGTTGTGTCAGTCTCGCTGCCGAATAGAAGGGGTCTTTATCGCACCCTAGTGCCCTAATATAACGTGCGGTGCGTCTCTTATCGACAACCGCTTGCTCGATAAATGTGCGCCGGCTCATGATAAATTATTACCACCTGACTGTGCGCGAATAAAATAAGTATTTATTAAATTACCCTCATAGAAAGCAGATTAGTTAATTAAGATAATACCCACTAATTGTATTTATTTTAGTATAAACGTACTATATTTTGCCCGCGGCTTCACCCGCGTGAAAATTAGTTTGTCACAGATCGTCATAAATTTATAGCCTATAATATGTCATTCTGGGTTATAAAAATTAATACTGTAAAGAAAGTTTCGTCTAAATCCGTTCTGTAGTTTTTGCGTAAAAGAGTAACAAACGTCCAGACATCCAAACTTTCGCATTTATAATATTAGGTAGTAGGATTTATTAAATATTTATTTATTTGACCGTTATTTTTCTAATAGTATTAATTACGAAGTATTAATATCGACACTACCACTACTCTGTTGCAACACCTTACACATAGAAATGTTTTAGTTCCGCAAACTTTTTGTGTTCAAGGTACCTACCTACATCTAGGAACGAAATTTTTTGATGGTAGGTACCTACACCACACATAAAAAATATTTTTTTTAGTAATTATCTTTATTTGTCTTACCCATACTTACTAAAAATAAGTTTATAAGATAAAGTTAAATGTTTAATAAAAAGTCTTTAGTATGGAAATGTCACTTGAAAACCATGTAGGTAACTTTTTATTAATAAGGGGATTTTTGAATACGTTTTAGCGTTTCGTTATTTATTGTTGAAAGTCATAATGATTTAAATAAACCATTCCTCAAATGACTATTTGAGGAAGGGTTTATATANTAAAATATAAAAAAAATGAAGTAGAGTGTCTTTCACTTTGAACTCGACGCTCTTTCCTGATTGTAGTTGTGTCAGTCTCGCTGCCGAATAGAAGGGGTCTCTAACGCACCCTAGTGCCCTAATATAACGTGCGGTGCGTCTCTTATCGACAACCGCTTGCTCGATAAATGTGCGCCGGCTCATGATAAATTATTACCACCTGACTGCGCGCGCGAATAAAATAAGTATTTATTAAATTACCCTCATAGAAAGCAAATTCGTTGATACCCACTAATTGTATTTATTTTAGTTTAACATACGTATCCGTTATTTTTATAATAGTATTAATTACTTATATTATTCATACCGACACCACCACTACACTGTGCAACACGTTACACATAGAAATGTTCGTTCCGCAAACTTTTTGTGTTTAAGGTACGTCTAGGAACGAAATTTTCTGATGGTACGCCACACGAAAATCAATTTTTAAGTAATTACCTTTATTAGTCTTACCCTTACTTACTAAAAATAAGTTTATAAGATAAAGTTAAATGTTTAATAAAAAGTTTTTAGTATGGAAATGTCACTTTAAACCTTGTAAGGTATAACTTTTTATTAATAACTAGCTTTCCGCCCGCGGCTTCGCCCGCGTGGAATTTTGTCTGTCACAGAAAAACTTTATCGCGCGCGTCCCTGTTTCAAAAACCGGGATAAAAACTATCCTATGTTCTTTCCCGGGACTCAAACTATCTCTATGCCAAATTTCATCAAAATCGGTTTCGAGGTTTAAGCGGGAAAGCGTAACAGACAGACAGACAGAGTTAAATTTAGTTGGGATAAGGGGATTTTTGTATACGTTTTAGCGTTCCGTTATTTATTGTTGAAAGTCATAATGATTTAAACAAACCATTCCTCAAATGACTATTTGAGGAAGGGTTTATGTATTTAAATCGTTACATCGTAAACAGACTTGTTTACGTACAATTTTATGAGCTCTTTCCTTCAGCCTTTTTTGCACTTCTTAACGTCCTCATTGGCCGGAGTTTACGGCGATATGATCTAGGTCGGAATAAGATATAACGGAGAGGTTAGTGCTCATCTTTTACGATCATCCACCGTTTGAACGCGTAATTTATTTTCACTTTAGGAAAAATTTCCGAGCTCAGGTGATCAAATCATTTTCGTTTATTTTGTAGAGAAATATCCTGCAGATTGTTTGGTGTAGCGGATTTGATGTATAAAATTAAATGCACTTATTTACCTTTAGCAAATGTAATATTATGTTTCAGGTGTTCAGGGAGATGTCAAAATTGGCGTGAAATAACACAAAAAATAGCAATACTTGTACTTATTTATTGTGTTTGCGTCATACAATACTTGCTAATATTTATTAACTTGCAAAAAATTAATACTTAAGTAGGTATCATATATCCACCTGAATCCTTATTAGGTGATACGTCATCTGAATGTGACCTTATGTCGGTAAGAACGTCTCATTTTCCCGCGTCACGGTGACAAATAATAAACGCGTCCGTCTGGCATCCCTGTTGGCTCCTTTATAATATTGTCTAGAAGCGTATTTACAACTACGTCAGGGTCGCGTCACGCGTGCTGAAAGATATAAAGTTGATATTGATATAATTACGTAATTGTAAAAACTGATAGTAGGTACCATCCATGCGAATCCTTATCATTTTATATCTAAATGCGACCTAACGTCTTATTTTCCCACGTCATCGCGTCACGGTGACAAATAATAAACACTGCGTCTGGCATCCCTGTTGGCTCCTTTATTGTCTGGAAGCGTATTTACAGTCGCGGTCGCGTGCTGAAAGATTTATTGTAGTTGATATTGATATAATTACGTAATCATTGTAAAAACTAATGCGAATCCTTATTATTTTACAACATCTAAATGCGACCTAACGTCTCATTTTCCCACGTCATCGCGTCACAGTGACAAATAATAAACACTGCGCCTGGCATCCCTGTTGGCTCCTTTATTGTCTGGAAGCGTATTTACAACAGTCGCGGTCGGGTGCTGAACGATTTATTAAGTTTTATTTTAGTTGATATTGACATAATTATATTAAAAATAAAATAATAAGTTTAAAAACTAGTGGTACCATCCATGCGCATCCTTATTATTTTACATCTAAATGCGACCTAAAGTCTCATTTTCCCACGTCATCGCGTCACAGTGACAAATAATAAACACTGCGTCTGCCATCCCTGTTGGCTCCTTTATTGTCTGGAAGCGTATTTACAACAGTCGCGGTCGTATGCTGAAAGATTTATTAATAGTTGATATAATTACGTAATTATTATAAAAACTAATGCGAATCCTTATTATTTTACAACATCTAAATGCGACCTAACGTTTCATTTTCCCACGTCATCGCGTCACGGTGACAAATAATAAACACTGCGTCTGGCATCCCTGTTGGCTCCTTTATTGTCTGGAAGCGTATTTACAACAGTCGCGGTCGCGTGCTGAACGATTTATAGTCACTGAATTTCAATGCATTCGGTCAACGACCTCACGAGTATACAATTTCGCTGGATCAATGTTGTATATTGACTTTTGGTCGATGTTGACGGATATTGAATGTTGATGGTACCAATTTATATGCTATGAGATGTGTGCGATTTCGAAGAAATGAGTTCTAGAGGAAATATACAATAGTCACTTGCAGTTTCATATCTGTATGTTTTTAAAATAAACTCCTATGTTGTTATTATTGCTAGTACAAAATAGTCCGTTCGTGATATATTTAATTTCGCGAATAGTAAATATGAACCAAAATGCCGTAGCGAAGCGATCACGAAAGAACCTGTCACAAATGTACTTTGTTTAGAGATCCTTTATTGGTTCAACCAATCACATTAATACTTGAGTTTTTTTTTAGTGCGGATACAGAATACGAACCCATAGTCTAGTAAACCCTTTCTAATTTAAAGCTTAATAGAAAATAAGAAGATGCGGATGAAGAAATAAAAGCAGAGACTTTTCTCGGTCGTTAAACTTAACGATAAGTACCTACGACATCTTAACAACTTCAGTATTTATAAGGTTTATTATGTATTACTATGGATACATTTCCACTGGGAAAGTAAATAGTTTTCAGCTCCCAGCGGTGCTTTGTGAATTTTTAATGTAAGCAGCTGTTTGTGTACATATCTGTGGGTGAGAGCCTGAGATTTGATGAATTATGCAGAGAGATCAAATATTCAAGTGAGGAGTCTAACTCGATCTTACGTAATGTTTACAGTCGAGACGTTGATTAAGTGGTGTCTAGACCTTTAATAATTAATAATTATTGTTAAAGTCGAATAAAAACATACCTAACTTGTGAGGGAATTCGAGTTATCATGTCATTGAGTGACGCTTCTATTGGCTGCCATGCTTTTTAAACTACTGTTAAATTTTTGCAAGTTTAGATTTTGTAAACACATTATAACTTCAACAGATTTTAAAACATGAAGATAACTAAGTATACGGTCATGTTTTTGCCGCTAAAAACTGAATAAAAATAAGAAAAAAATACTCAAGAAATAGGTAGTAGTCTACCCAGATCATTTAGAATTTTGAGCTCCTTGATTTTTATACATTCTGAACATCAAATTGTGTCAAAATGTCAAAAGCTCACTGAGAACTTGTGTTTTGTTAATGTAAAAATTACTCAGATAAAGTTTCGGGGGCCACAAGTAAAGATGATTAAACGTGGCGGACAGGAAAAATGATTTTGTATCTAAATATATAAAAGGAGAAACTGACTGACTGACTGACAGATCAACGCACAGCCTAAACGGCTAAACGTAGGCACTTGAAATTTGGAAGGGACGTAGCTTAGGTACCGTAGATGTGCACTAAGAAAGGAATTCCCGAAATTCCCACGGGAACGGGAATTAGCGGGAAAAATGGGATTCACGCGTACGAAGTCGCGGGCGGCCGCTAGTCGATTTATAAATTAACTCCTACTGAACCCAT